CCTTCAGCACTAGGCAACCAGGCAACTACAAAGCTAATTTCTTTCTCTTTAGATTTGCCTATTCTGTTTATTTCATAGAATTGAAATTATACACTATATCATCTTTTGTGGCTGACTTCTTTTACTTAGCATAATGGTTTTGAAAATTGTCTATGTCATAGTACAAATCAGTATATAATTTCTTATTATGGATTGCCAAATAATATTTTGTCTTATTGAAATTCCATGATTTATTTATCCATTCATCAGTTGATAGGTAGTTAGATTGCTTTCACATTTTTTGCTATTATGAATAATGTTGCTTTGAACATCTATGTATAAGCTGTGTGAGAATTTATGCTTTCATTTCTCTTGGGTAGATACCTAGGATCAGAATATCCAAGATCCTATGGCAACTCTGTGTTTACATATTGAGAAACTGATGAAGTGTTTGCCATGGTGGAGGCACCATTTTATACTCAATTCAATTTCAATGTATCCACATTAAATGCTTTCAGTTTCTCCACATTCTTGCCACAGTATGTTATTGTCTGTCTTTTTGATTTTAGCTATCCTAGCAGATATGAAGTGATATTTCATTGTGGTTTTGATTTCCAATTCCCTAATTGCTCATATAATGGTTGAAGAGTCTCATGATCTGCTATCCATAAGCTGGGGGAACCAGAAAAGAAAGTGATGAACAGTAGTCCCCCCTTATTTGTGGTTTCTCTTTCCACGGTTTCTGTATGTGTATGTTAAGACTAGTTCATAGTACGGTGTATGTTCTCTATGTTCTTATTGACTGTCTCTCTAGATGTTCTGTCCATTATTGAAAGGGGAGGGCACTGGAGTCTTAAAGTATTATATTATTTTAGAACTGTTTTTCTCTTTATTTCTGTCAATATGTTTCATACATTTTGGAGCTCTGATGTTAGGCGTTCATACATTTACAATTATTATATCTTCTTGATAAGTTGAGCCTTTTAGAGATATGTAATATCCTTCTTTGTCCCTTGAAATAGTTTTTCACTTGAGGTCCATTTTGTCTAGTAATATAGCTAACTCGGTTCTTGTTTAGTTACTGTATTACCTGAAATATATTTCATACTATTTGTAGCTCTAGATCTAAAGTTAATTTCTTATAGAAAGTGTGTAGTTGGATCATTTTTTTTCTATTCATTATGCCAGTTTTTGCCTTTTGGTTGGTTAGTTTTAATCTGTTTACATTTAAAGCAGTTACTGACAAGAAGGGCTTATTTCAGTCATTTTGCAATTGTTTTCTGCTGCCTTAGGCCATTTTTGTTTCTGATTTCCTCTATTATTGACTCCTTTTGTATTCAATTTATTTTTTGTAGTTACACCATTTTGTGTGCCTTTCGTTTCATTTTTCGTATTATTTTTTAAAGACATTTTATTTGCTGTTGCATGGAAATATTTTAACATCTTAAGTTTATGACAATCTAGTTTTAATTGACATCAGTTGACTCTAAAATTCTATGCTTCATTACTCAGCTACATGCACTTTTGGATCTCCCTTCCAATTCACCAGATCTCTAGGCAGAATTTCTTATTTAATTTTTTAAGTATTTTGTCCCCATAAATGTTTATTTTTGAATCAGTAACTTAGGGAAATTAGACATTTCTATGAGAAAAAATAAGCAAGAAAGCACATGTAGGTTTGGAGGAATGGTTGGGTGAGTGTGTTTAACAAAGAGAGGATGCTTCGTAACATATATTTGACTAGTCAATAGGAAAATAGTAAGACTTCTTTTACTTTTAATATTATTTTTAATGTTTTTAAGGAAAAAGTAGAAATTAAATCTGTGACACGTTACCACATATGCAAAGGATGTAAATATATTAAACATATTTAGTATAATTACCACAACTTGTAAATACTTTATTCACTAGCTACAAACTTCATATACATTTACTTCTTATCTACACAGGAATTTTTACCTATGTGTATCTATTAAAACACAAAACTAATGAACTTGTACAGCCCTATTGAATTTTATTCTCTATCCCTGCTTGCCCCTAAGAGAACTTAGTCCAACCTTATTGTTCTACATGGTCCATGTTATGCTGGATTTCCTTAACGTTTGACACATTATCAATGATAAGTAGGAAATTGTTACTTTTAGAAGTGTGAGAAATTTTACTAATTCTCCTGCTTTTCTATTTGATGAAATAATTTATCAGGTACGAATCAGAAGTTTCCAGAGGAAATTTTGCATTAGCAAAAACTAAATTCAAATGTTGAGCTGGTCAGCATTTATTTTTCACATTTATTTTATATTTCATAGGTTTGATACCAAGCTTCTTGGTATTCTTTATGTGCTTTGTAAGGGTTAGGGTCACTCTGAATTTGCTCAGTTCTCTGTTTCTTACACATTGGCAGTATCTGGAAAAGGACATGAATTCAGCTGTTAGGTCAGAAATGTCACCATCATGAAGTTAGAAGATGGAATAATGCAGCAGTATACTGAACTTGCTAAAATATAACAAAGTATGAGGGTGGATTCTGTAACAATTATGTCCACTTTAATATTTTCCCATACAGATAATTTCAATGTCTTGTACTTTGTCCAGATGCAAAATAGTAAGCAATGTTTATTTTTGACTTAATGTGTGTGTTCTTTTTTAAAGAGAATTCTTAAAATATGTAAGCCTTTTTGATTCTTTCCTATTTCTTTAAATGAATTTTGAATTTTTCTGATGCTGCTCTAAATCTAAAAATCCTGGGCTATTTTAAGCATCTGCCTAGTAGTCTGAGCCAGTGTTTGCCTTCAAACAATGGAAAGATTTACACTGAACTTATAAACAAAGGGTAGAGTTAATTTTGAAGGCAGATTCTTTCAAACCTTAGCAACTATGGAAATACTGGCATGACTATTTAAAATGAATCCCACTGAATTTGATTCTGTGCATTATTGTATAATTCTTACTGTCAAAATGCAAAGGGGTGGAAATCTTCTCTCTCATATTTCACTCTTGTTTTATTATTATTGTTTAAATTTTTGAACTTAAACAATCCTGCCTATAGGTCTCAGTTTCAGAGCCATGAGTAGTGAGCAAATGATGCCAGCTTTTCCTGAAAAACATTGAAAAAATACTGTCTGAACTTTGAGTATTTCTGTGACACTAGAAGGGAGGTGTTCGGTAAGCAATACAACAATAAATATATTTACAGAAGCCAAGCCAAACCAACAAAACAATTGACAAGGCCAGTATTTTTCCATAGAAATAATGCCTTAGAAAATTCTACTAAATTTTTCTAATATGTGAAGGCCAGGAGTTATATTTTTCAAATGTAAAATGCTTTGGCAGTGGCTGATGACATTAAATTTGAGGGCTAAACATATTTTACAGCTCAATACGGTCCCATATGACTAAAATACTAATTAATGCTAATATCACATCATTCATAAGTTTAAAAAAATGATAACTGTTTTTACACATGAGGCTTTTTCTTGACACTTTTACATTGTATGATAAACATTCATATGTTTTAACGATGAACATTCAAAAACATATTCAAACAATTAGATATTATATAATAATAAATTTGCTTATTTAAAACATGCACACAAGCTTCACAGACTTTATTGAGCACATGGCAATGCTGTAATGACTCATTATTTCAGTATTTGATTTTAATTATTTTAAGTTGTTGCATTCATAAAATGATTGAATGGATACTATTTGTGTGTTGTTATCATCAGAAGAAATTCATTAGGAACACATATCGTTAGCTTGTTTAGACTTTAAGCACTTTATAGCAATTGGATATGTTTGGTTTTGCCTTCTAAATAGGGAAGAGGTTTGAGAAATAGACCATGATTTGCCATTGAATATTTGCTTTTATTCTGTTTTTCAAACATATTTTGTTGGTGGAGGCACAACAACAAAGTGTTAGAGAGTATTATTTTACACAAATATCTTTAAAAATCAAACTGAATATTTTAAAGGAGAAGTTTGTACTACACATTCACATTCTCAAAAAGTTTCTGCTTTCTTGAGCAGGATTGACAGTATCCCTAATTCAAAGAAAGATGATCTATAAGCACTAAGGTCTGGAAGATACTTTTTACACTTAAAAGTATTTCTTGTTATGTTATGGGTCTCAGAAATGTGCTAGTATATATCTTCTTGTAGTAAAATTGATACTTTTTAGGACTATTATCATTTCTTTCTCATAAGACTTCATTTCAATCTCATAGATTGAATAATCTAAGCAAATGAAAGAAAAGGTCTCTCTGTGGAAGGATAAATGTTAGACTCACCCTCTTGCTCAGCTGGTATTAGTTAACATGTATCCAAACTATTGTGCAGATTTGTTTTCTAAGAGGTAATTCACCTTTCTACACCTTGCCTGGTTTACTCATATGTACCATATATTAGTATTTTTACACCACATTTTCTTTTGTCACACTTACAACTTTTTTTTTTTTTTTTTTCCCCTAAGGAGTTGCCCTTGAAGATATTTTCTGATACCTTCTCCTAGTCCTTATTCTATTTTCAGTGAGGGGAGAGGAGGAGAACACATATAGGATTCTTACCCTATTTATTGGAATGTACTTTTACTGTTTTATAATCTAGCTATTTTTAAAACTGTGAAAAATAAAGAGAATGATAGGAATTTTCTCTCTATATATATATGTATATATATGTGTGTGTGTATGTATATGTATATACATACATCAAACTGAAAAAAAGTACATATATATATATACTTTTTTTTTTTTTTTTACAATTTTTTTTTTTTTTTTTTTTTTTTTTTTTTTTTTTTGAGACACAGTCTTGCTCTGTCACCAGGCTGGAGTGCAGTGGCGCAATCTCGACTCACTGCAACCTCCGCCTCCTGGGTTCAAGCGATTCTTCCGCTTCAGCCTCCCAAGTAGCTAGGACCACAGGCAGGCGCGTGCCACCAAGCCTGGCTAATTTTTTTGTATTTTTAGTAGAGATGGGGTTTCACCGTGTTGGCCAGGATGGTCTTGATCTCTTGACCTTGTGATCCACCCGCCTCGGCCTCCCAAAGTGTTGGGATTACAGGCGTGAGCCACCGCGCCCGGCCCTTTATATTTTTTAAGGTCCTAACTTTGACTACTTTTTAGCTTGGCATTTAAAACTATGTAATGGTCAAAAGTATATAATTTTTACAAATTTTACTTTCTCAGAAAAAATTATCAAGAGAATGACATGTACATTTGCCTAATGATTTAATTAGATTTTCTTTTCAGTTCAATGCCATGTAAGAAATCTTTAAATCCTTAAACTTTTACATTCTACAAAATGAGTTTTCTTTAGCAAAGATTTTCAGTTCCTACTTCTTGAGGTTAATTTTCCATTACTGTAGTGGGAAAATGAGTCATTTACCTTTTTTTCTCCCACTTTATTTCTCTAGGCAAAATGTCCATTTTATATAGATTTTGTTTTCCTTAATTTACAATATTACATTTTAAATGATCTTTAATCTCTTGGAAAAGCTATATGTTATTTTAATGTCACAAATGTATATTGCAATTTGTAAATGAGATAGACTGGAGAGTTCATAAGTATTTTTCAGACATATTTTTGTTTGTTCCATATAATAATTTAGAGTTTTAAAATAATAAATTTAAAGCCCATTTTATTTTGTGTGAAAACTAAGATTTTATTAGTGTCTTTGTCACCTTTATATCCTGCCTTTCTCAGTTTGACTATAGCTGCCAAAAATTGCCTTCTGTTTCTAGAGAGTATATAGGACAGGACTAATAAGTAGGAGAATGGGGTCCTAGGCTGGCATGATGATGGCCTCATCTTTCACCTCAGAAAATGGAATTAAGAATATTCATCCACAGAGGTATAGGGTGAGCTTATGAAACTTGAAGTGGTGGAGGCAGATTTGGAATTCCGGCGGGAGCAGCCATTGAAGCTTGGGTCTCTTGGCGTTGCTCTTTTTTTCTGACTGGACTTGGTGTTGTCTGCATTGCTGGGGTCAAACACCACTGTCATGGACTCCATCCTGGTCACAGTGTACATACTGCTTTGCCGGGTTGGATGAAACCTGGTGGTCTTGAGCTCTAGCTCATCATAGCTGGAAACTTCGATGAACGGACACCAGCGAAATGCTCTCTTGAAGCCAGCTCTGAATCTAAGGAAAAGCAGGCCACAGAAAGAAAAAGTTATTTTTTCAAGCAGATATGTGTTTCAGCTGCCACAGAAAATTCTATGTAAGGCAGTCACAACAACTCAGTTTTTGAGTTTTGTTTTTTTAGCCAAACTCTTAGACTTTTTGGCACAGTATTGTTAGTTTTTTAGTTCTTGTTTGAATTAAATCTTAATTTCCCATTAATGAGAAGCATTGATTCCCAGCAATGAAAAGCATCTCATTCCTGTCAGTGAGAAGTCATCAATAGCAAACGCACAGCATCAGGTAGTCCAGATGTTAAGGAAATTGCATACTTTTCTAACATAATTTTATACATTTATGTAAATATAATTGAATTAGGTTGGCCAGTTAAGGCACTTAAAAATGATATATTTCAAAATAGCTTCTTTCAGAAATGATTACACATTTATAAACTCTAATTTAATGTTAGAATTAATTGCTACTCTTGATGGTTTTATCTAATCATGTATGAAAGTGCAAAATCCTTATCTTTGTAAATCATTAAATGAAGTTGATTAAAAGTGGATGTACTCCTTGTGGGGTGGCGGGAATTGGCATGTGGTTTATGCAATTAGTGAAAAACAAAAATCAAGAGTTAATTAAGTATTTATCAAACTTAAGGCACAGTGTGTTAGAGTCCCAACTGAGAAGAAAGCTAAGTATTTAATTCATGCGGTTACTTACATAAAGCCCCATTTCTACTTGTAAACAAGACATATTGGCTTAGTATAGGACTTACCAGCCCTATGAAATTTAACCCTACCCCTACATGTGCTGACCACACAACCAAGGTTTTTTTTTTTTTTTTTTTTTTTTTTTTTTTTTTTTTTTTTTTATATTCTCACTTTTAATTTTTTAACTTTATAAAAATCTTTCCCTTGACCACCGTGGCTTCTTCATAAGCCATCTCCATAGAGGCTGCATGCTCTCTTACTCACCCCACTTCACAATGCAGGAAGGAAGATTGGAGTTCCTCTTGTTTTTACGAAGTCTTCTACTTTGAAGTTTATATATTTACAACATATCCTTTTAAATAAAGTCCACTCACATATACCATAATCTCTCCATCTTATAGAAATTATTCAAGAATTTCTAGGAAGTATCTTCATTTCTTTGAGGATTTTAGCATATTTTCAGTTCTCCTTCAATCATGAGGGCACTTCTTTTTCTTTGGTAGGCAAAATTCTGAGGTTTCGGAAAAAGAAGTTGGCCCATAGAAAAATCATTCACTTAGAACCCCAAAACATTGTTTGGGTCATGTAATTTTTAAGGTGGGATGCTTTATAAAGTGTGTGGAGGGGGTCTGAAAAAATAAAGCCTTGTGCCTCTCTCAGTGAATTCTTAAATGTTCTCTTCCTTCTGCATTTTGAATTTGAACCAAGAAACTGGAACATTATATGTTTCCAGCGAAGGCAGGAGTGACAATCAACTTGCATTTCATAATTTTGTTTTTTTTTTTACCTTTTATTCAGACAGCAGTAGATGATGGGATTATACATGGTTGAGCTCATTGCCAGCCAAAAGCTAGCCAGGTAGACCTGCTGGATGTATTTCCATCTATTTAGTTGTTGATAGATTGCAGTGAGAATGAAGTAAATATGATAGGGCAGCCAGCAGATGGCAAATGTCATGACGACAATAATCATCATTTTGACAACCTTTAAAGAAAAAAAGGTCATTTTTGACAAATATAATAATCATTAAATGTAATAGTTACAATAGGTTATTGCAAACCATGCTTTTCTGCCAATACAGTTAAATACACATCATGCCTAAGGAATAGTAAATATATTAAAAAATGGTGAAGCAATATAGGGACAGTTGCCAAAGATAAATCTCAAGAAAATATGCTATGTCACTATTCATTTCTACCTATCTAAGTCAATGGATAGTGCTAACTCAAACACAGGTGAATATATTTTGATTGGCCTGAAGAAAATAAATGTTTAGAAAAACCTAGAGCACCTAGAGCAGAGAGAGGTAGGAGCTGGGATGTGGCTGTGTAGCCTGCATTGTACAGTAGTGGAGACACAATGTCCAGGAAACTGACTGTTAAGTCACTATGGAGGTTTACAAAGCTGCTAGGGTTGGGCTTGTTCATCAGTACTCTTTTCTTAGCCTGACTATAGTTTAAGACTATTCAGATTTCTTTAATACCCTGCTCACTAGGCAACCTTATGAATATTAATTTGGTTTCTCTTATTATCTGATATTGGGGAAGGTTTCCCCAAATAGTGATTATATGTAAATATTCACATTAATGTGAGGAAAATATCGACTTCAGATTTGCAAGTAGGTTATTGGTTTATGTGACTGTTTTATGCATTAGCTTATATGACTTTTATAAGCATAGGGCATTTCCTTTGATTTTATACTTCTGAATGATAATAAGCTGGACAGGTCTAATCAAAGTAGAATGTCAGCTTTTATTTCTCTTGCACTAGGCTTAAAATTCCTAATGTCTTATCTTTTTTACTCCCAGTGTCTATCATAGTCCCTGGTATATAGCTGGAGATACATATATACAGAATGGATGAATAAGAAATGGCAATGTACAATTTGTAACAGGAGGTTGAATGGAGGATGTTTTGTGTGTCTCTAAATGAAATAAAATCTGTTCCACTGTCTGTGTTTATAAGAAAGGTAGAATCAAAGATATTAAACATTGAGCAACTTAGCTTTGTATTAAAAATAATATTCTGAGTATCTCATTTGATATTTCTCAGAAACAATCTATCTGCTAAGTATGTTCATGGCTCTTTTGGGGATTTGGGAATAGTAAAAATTTTTAAATAAGATACTTTAAGCAAAATAATTTTGAAGCTTACCTGCAGTCAGATTAAAACAAATCAGAGAAAGCTCTGATGTAAATGGCCTATGAGGCACCTCAGAACTAGAAAAATGCAGCATTTATGAAATGGACTTGTCATTTGACTGCAAATTAGAGATTCAGATGAAAGTTGGCAAGGGTTAGTCAGGAGAGACGTGATTTTATAAATTGACAAAGCATGAAATGGATCAACATGGAAGGTATCTCTTCCCTAAGGGCCAAATCACTGTACCATTCAGGTGACCAGCATTGAGCAGGTGGAAATTGGCCATCAGAGTTGAAAATCCAGGTCAACAGCTCATAGAATGTCATCACTGGCCATACCATATAACATCTTTTGATTTTTCCAGGTTCTTCAAATTGCATTGCTTTCTTCTGTAGAACTGCTTTTGTATTTCTGCATTTTATTTCTCAAATTTCCTATTCAAAATTCATGTACTTGTGAAAAACAAGTGACATAATTTAATTTACATCTATGCAACATTTCACATATTTAAAAATTAATTAATTGTCTTTCAATTGCACATTAGCAAACGGAGGCAAAAACCAAAATATTTGACCACTGTCATTCATGTAACTAAGAAAGGTCTTTCTTTAAAACTCCGACTCTTAAGTCTTTTTACCCTTTATTTATAGATAAAAACATCTATTGAATATCTTTTGAGTTTAGAATATAATATTGAGAAAAATAGTGATTGAGAATCAATTCCTTCTTCTCAAGTTTACAACATAATGAAAAAAATGTTCAATTTTAATAAAAATGCATGCATTGAGGAGTGTGAACATGTACAGATAAAATTTACAATAGTATTTATGAGAATGTACTAGTTTATTGTAGATTAGAATGATTCAATACATGCCTGCTAACTGTAGGCTCAGAGGATATTAGACTAAATGAAATGGGTCTATTGATGATTTCATTGTTGAATTAATAAACATTCTACTATTTCTTGAACAGGATAGTTAAGCTCCAGCCATAGATTATTCTCCATGGCTCCTTCCTCTACCTAGAGTACTCTTCTAACCATGATTCCCAGGGTTTAAGTACCTCACCTCCTTCAAGCTGTTGCACAATTGTCATTTTTTTCTTTGAGTGCTATTCTGACCAACTGATTTAAAATCGCAATCTGCCCTTCCAGCACTCTCAGAACCTCTTAGCTGGCTCTTTATGTTCAGTTTGTTATGTTTATTCTTTATTTTGTGTCTCCTGATGCTGAAATATAAAAGAGCAAGTATTTTCTGTTTGTTTTGTTCCTTTGTATATTTCAGGCACCCAGACTGGACTTCATATATAAAGGGTGCTCAGAAATTTCTTAAATGAACAAAGGAAAGTGACTATAAAACAAAAGAGGCTGAAAGATACAGACAGTTAAGTAATGTCTAAGATTTTACTCAGTCATCAATTCCTGGTATCATTTGTTTTTCATTTAAAATGAACATGTGTATGTAAAATGAGCATGGCATTTACTGCTATTTCTGCTTTCAAGGCAAACACATGTAAAAAGAGAATGAGTCCAAAAATAATGTAATTATTTTTTTATGGGGCACATGAAAGCATTACATTTCATTCTAAGCAAATGTTAAGAACAAGAAAAATATCTATGAGAATGTTAACATAAATTTTATTTGAATCATTTTATACAGACTGACTACAAACTCCCTATGCACAAAATTGCTTTCCAACAATTGTGTAAGACCTACTAAGGCTATCAGAGTCCTTTCAGATAAATTTCAATTGTCAAAGTGCAAAAAGTTCAGAAAAACATGCAAAAATTAAAATGCATGTGGAAAATGGGACAGAGACTTCAGGTAACTTCTAACTCACATACAGCGGGCCTTGAGGACTTACTGTGAAAGATTTATAAACACATTTTAAAATTTTTAAGGAAGTTTTAAAATATCCTACAGAAATTTTTAAAAGTAGAACAGCTGCTATAATATATTTTCTGTACGATTTCTATAAAATATGTTACCTTGACTCTCTGCTCAAAAAATCTTGTAGTGTTATTTCAGGTGGTGAACTCTCTGGACCCTAGTTTTGATGTGACTATAAAAGCAGTTTTTTAGGTGGAAACAATGGTCTTGCTTTGTGAAATGCTGAAGTCACAAAATTGAAATCACCCTCCTCATGAAATGCCAAAGAAAAGAGCTCTTTGAAGCACAATGCTTGAGCAATGATAGATGTACAGATGCTATAAGCAGTTATCACTGTATTGCATGGCTGTAACAATGGCACAGCGCAGACAGGCTATGAACTGTTAAAGAGATAAAAGTATCAGTTGATAACTTTCAGAAATTCAAGAGACTTTTAGGCAAATGACAATCTGGGACAGAGAAGGTTCAAATCTCTCATCATGTCTTAATAATTTTATTAAGTGTAGAGTTACCTATTATCCTTGGAAACTTACAAGCAGAATGAAGGAGGAAAGTGGGAACATGTAATGTAGCTCCTACAAAGTTATAGTGCCTATTTTTAGCACTTAAGAATCTAACTACATAGGCAAAATGGAACTGCATGTTGTCATATATTAGTGAGAATAAACTTTGGATACCTTTCCTTCATGTATCAAAGGGGAACGATCTTAGATTTTTGTATACCATACAGATTAGACTAAAATGCCTACAGCTGTTATTACCATTACATTAAATTAGTGTAGTATGGATGATTTTGAGGTTTAGGTTGTAAAAGCAAAGATTAGTCTAGGAAATTAATTAAAATGCTGACAACTATTTAGAAAACTCTAGGAATCATATTCTTTGGTACAGGATTTATTCTTTCTAAATATTTGGAATAAAAATGATCAGCTTGGTGCAACAAAAAACAAAACAAAACTTTTTGTTTTGATTAGAGTCTCCTCAGAGCATATGTTTCAAAGAATTGTCCCATGGACCACACCCTACCACTTGTTAATAACTGTCCTCTGCACAAATGTTCTCAAATGGACATTATTTTCCCTTAAGTGAAAATTACAGGCCATGTTATTCTAAGTACAAATTAGCAGACTAAAATAATATACTCAAGGGTAGTATGTTTTAAAAAATTAATAAAACGTATCAACATTAAAAGTATTGCTTCATAGGCTATTTAGGTTTGGCTTTTGGTGCTTCAGTTTAAAAGACAAAAGAACTTCAGTCTCACATGAGACAATAAGAAGTTAGTAATACCTTTGCAAAGAGTTCAGCATGACTCAGAAGATAAATTTGGCCAGTAATTTCAGGATTGGGTGAAAATATAGGCACTTTATGCGAGTGTCATCTAAGTAATCGGACACTGTTGCCAAATCTCACTAACATGTACATTCAGTTAATATTTGCCTAGAGCAATGCCTATAAGAAATTATGTCAAGCCCAAGCAAATGAAAAAACCTGTGTGCATATATTATTGAAAAAATTTTTGTGTGTGTATGTTTGTGTTGTGCTTGTGCTCTACTTCTTTACATTTTATTAGTCACATTTTCTTTTTAATGCAAATCTATGTTTTCATTGTAAACTTGATCTTTGAAAGCACTGTAAGATTTTAGGCCTATAATGATCTGAAACCAAAGGAAAAGATGCAACCACAGAAAGCAAGACACGAAAGATGGCAAAAAAAAAAAAAAAAAAAAAAAAAAAAAAAAAAAATTAAGATTGATTTTATGGCATGATAGTTAGAGATGAAAATTTATAGAGTCCTTTTATGGGCTGAATTGTGCCCCCTTCAAAATTCATATGTCAAAGTTCTAACTCCCACTACCTTGAAATGTGACTATATTTAGAGATAGAGCCTTTGAAAATGGAATTTAGTTAAAATTAGGCCATTAGCGTGAACCCCAATTTGATATGACTGGT